GTGGGGCTTGATCCCACAACCTTGAGATCATGAACTGAGCCAATACCAAGAGCCAGATGCTTAATTGACCAAGCCACCTAGGTGTCCCTGAAGTCCTAAATCCTAAGTAGAAAATACGGTAATTTGGGATCCCTGGGTGGCGCAGCGGTTTGGCGCCTGCCTTTGGCCCAGGGCGCGATCCTGGAGATCCGGGATCGAGTCCCACATCAGGCTCCCGGTGCATGGAGCCTGCTTCTCCCTCTGCCTGTGTCTCTGCCTCTCTCTCTCTCTCACTGTGTGCCTATCATGAATAAAAAAAAAATAAAAAAAAAATCCTTTAAAAAAAAAAAAGAAAATACGGTAATTTTAAAAGTTTGGTATATTACTTCTATGGCTTATTAACATATATTATGTACATACAGCTTGTCCTTTTTATAGTAAACCTGGCTAGATGAATCACTTATACTAAGCACTGTAAAATAAAAGCAAGAGCAAAATGTTTTTAGCAAAATTCTCTGTATGAGAGAACTCTAAGTATCAAAGATATTCATTAGTAGTTGTTACGGATTGAATGGTGTCCCCTACCTTCCCAAATTCATATGTTGAAGCTTCATCTCCAATGTCACTGTGTTTGGAGACACAGCATTTAAGGAGATAATCAAGGTTAAATGTGGTCATAAGGGTGAGTCCCTAAAACCAATAGGATTGGCGTCCTTATAAGAGACACCACCAGGAGAGCACACAGAGGACCACAGAAGACAACAGCGAGAAGGTACCACCTGCCAACCAAGGGGAAGGCTCACCAGAAACCAACTCTCCTGGCATTCTCATCTTGGAATTGTAGCCTTCCCAACAACAAATTTCTGTTGTTTAAGCGATATTGCTATGGTAGCCCTAGCCCATGAATACAGTGGTTGATCATCATCTGCTACAAAACATGTAACAAAGCATCTTCATTGAATTGTTTTCCCTATTGCAGCTGTCCTTTGGCATCTAAAAGAAGGATTTCCCATAAAAATAAGCTGCAGTGAAATTCACTTAATGATTAGTTTATAACAATCTCTTTAAAAATTTTTTTTTCTTTCTGCCTATTCTCACAGGGGCATCATGATATTGGAAGTATTTATAGGAAGATATTATTTGAGTAATTTCAAATGATGCATAGCCCTTCATGTTAGAAAGGTGCTTTGTGGTCACAACTACTTCAAAACATTAATTATATTCAAATAACCTGACATATCAAGCTTCAGCAATTCCAGAAGCATGGTTTTGACACACAGCAATTTTTTAATCATGCAAATGTGAAATGTGCAGTGCTGAAAACTAAAGTGTACAGTGTTGCAAAACTCAGATAATGACCTAATGTCCAGATAACATAACCAGCTCACAGTAAGCCATACTACATCATCAAGACTTTGGGGAGTATAATTCCAAAGAAGGGAGTACCTTTCCCATTGTTACAACATTTCACTATATCAATACAATAGTCTTTAACACAATAGTCATACTTTTGTTGGAATCACATACTACTTTCAAGATGATTTTCACTCCGTGATTTAAGTACCAAAACAATGTAGAGTCTCATGATGGACTGCAAGATCATTCACAGAAACTCATAAGGCTTTTAAAAGAATGCATTTCTCCACTTAAAATTTACTCATGCAAGCTGTTGAGGTTTAAGACAGCAGAGCAATTGCGTGTATATAAAATGTGGCTCTTCTTTATCCAGGGGTTGGTCTGAAAGCACGTAGTTTCAATGCACAAAAAAGATTCAAAATTCTACCTTAAGGAGATCCAACAACCTTTAAAAAATTTTCCCAATAATATTTTATAGTTCTTTTGCACAGAGGACTTGGACATTCATTCCTAGGAAAGTGATACTTTTTCATATTATAAATTGTGACTGTAACAGACAGAATCATAGTCCTCAAAGATGGCCATATCATAATCCCCAGAGTCTGTGGCTATGTTACATTAAGTGACAAAAGGGACTTAAGGTTTGCAGTTCGCAATTAAGGCTGCTAATCAGATAATCTTAAAGCAGAGATCATCCAGGTGGGCCCAATCTATTTAGCTTAATGGCTAAAGACTGAAGCAGAAGAGTGGGTCAAAGGGATGCTACACAGGGATTCAATCTCTCTGCTGGCTTTGAAGATGAAGGAAGGGGACCACAAGCCAAGGAATGCAGTGGCCTCCAGAAGCTGGGAATGACCTTGAATTTACATCCAGCAAAAAAACTGCTCTGCAACCACAAGGAACTGAATTGTTCCAACAAAGCCAAAGGAGCAGGAGGCAGAATCTCCTAGATCTTCCAGAAGAGTGCAGCCCTGAAGACCTCTTCATCTTAGCCTTGGGACCCCGACCTTTGAAGATACTATGACATAGAGTTTGACATTTCCCCCAGTGCAGAGTAACCCATAGGGAACTCACATCATGGATTTTAAACAGGGTGGTGTGATACAACCACATCTGTAGCTGTGGGAGGACACCAGGAAGGGCCAATAAGTGGAAGCAGGAAGATCAGTGTAGTTCAGAGAGGATGATGTCTGAAACCATGCCAGATGGTGGTGGAGGTGGACAGATTCCAGATGATTGACTGGAGGCACAGGTGATGGGTTTGCCAAGGGACTGGTTGTAGAGGGTAGGCAGCAGCAACACTGGATGGTTCCTAGATTTCTGACTTGAAATCAGTGAATATGATTTCCCTGGTGGAGATGAGAAAACCTGGGCAGGTGACACACTTTGATGTACATGTGGGTGACTAAGAAACTAATGTGTCAAACTTGAGATGTGAGACACCTGAATGGAGATCACAGGTAGGCAAATAAATTTTTCAATCTTAAAGAAATTTTTAAAAGCTTGTGTTAGGTCATCTCTACCCCCAACATGGGGCTCAAACTCACAACCCCAAGATCAAGAGTGCACGCTCTACCGCCTATGCCCCCCAGGTGCCCTCCAGCAGATGTCTTTTTAAGCTTGGAGTTCAGGGGAGAATCTGACCTGCAACCACACAACTGGAAGCCATCAGCATGTAGATGTCGTTTCAAGGTACTGAGATGTGAAGAGAACCCCCAATAGCCCTGAGGAACACAAACATTTAGAAGTTGGGTGCAGGGGCAGCCCTAGTGGCTTAACAGTTTAGTGCCACCTTCAGCCCAGGGCATGATCCTGGAGACTGGGGATCAAGTCCCACATCGGGCTCCCTGCATGGAGCCTGCTTCTCCCTCTGCCTGTGTCTCTGCCTCTGTGTGTGTGTGTGATGAATAAATAAAATCTTAAAAAAAAAAAAAAAGAAGTTGGGTGCAGTGGTGCAGTGGAAGGAGCACCGTGTTAAGTGTTGATTCTGCGCTTGTACTAATACATATATATTTTATATATATATATATATATATATAAGATTTTATTAATTTATTCATGAGACACAGAGAGAGGCAGAGACACAGGCAAAGGGAGAAGCAGCCTCCCCCCAAGGAGCCCGATGCGGGACTTGATCCCATGATCCTGGGATCACAACCTGAGTCAAAAGACCATTCACTCACTCAACCACTCAACCACTGTGCCACCCAGGTGCTCTTATGTATATGTTTAAAGATGGAAAAAAAAAGATGGATGGTATGGGAACACCGGAACAGGTGACGATGATCCAGAACAGGAGAGATGACAATTTAGGAGAGGGATAAGCAAGAGATCCAACTCTCCAAGAGACAATGTAAGGGGCAGAGTGCAGGGCTCAGGTGCAGGGCGCGGCTTCTGGCAGGAGGAATGAGTACAGAAGAGATAGATTTGCCTGGTTGGTGGAGGGAAGAGGGAGTATAACATCTGCCGCCTTCATCCTGCTCAGTAAATCATGAAAAGAGCAGAAGGGTGTGGGAGGGTTGAAGGTACAATAGCTGATGTAGGGAAAGAACAACTAAGTATCAGAGGATCAGAGTAGGATCGGATCCTCTGGTGACTGTGTGTCTGAGGTTGATAATCATTAAAGTGAAACCAGCCAGCTCAGTTGTGTGGTTTTCTTCTAGAAATACTCAGCTCTTAGGTGCAGGGAGGAGGCACTCATCCAGGCTTGGCGTCTTGAACAGGGAAGGGCCAAGGGAGAGGATGCAGACACGGGGTGTTGGAAGAGAGGGACTGGAACAATGGACTCTGACAGCTTGGTCAGGCGATGAGCCAACTGGTGGATGGATGCACTGTTTGACAAGGTCAGAGAACTAGGGCTGGTGTGTATTTCAGGAGGTGAACTGGAAATGGTGTTCAGCAAGCTTTTAGACTGTGTAGCCTCCAAATCTGCACTTTTAGCTCCTGGCAGCACCTGACTCACCATGTGTGGTCAATGCTTGCATAACTGAAAGCACATAGGAAAATCAGGGTCTTGTCTGATTACGACGCTCATGCTCCACCTCCTCTGTGCTGTGGTTTTGGACCTCTTTTTTGGGGAATGATGTCTACAAATGAAGCTGAAAAGTTGAAAAACATGCCTATTGAAAAGTGCAAGTGGCCAGCACTGAGCCAGGAGTTCAAACCATGCACAAGCCAGACTTTCAAAAACAATTCTTTTTGCTCCTCTGTCTTGTTTCTTATGAGCCAGGTGCGCTTTTTTCTCTCTCTGGGTCTGCTATTCCTCCTCCACGTCCTCCCAAGTAGACCTTATGTTCCTCTTCCTTTTTTCTGACTCTAAATTGCGCTTGTCCCCTTGCTGGCTCAGCCCTCACCTCCGTGGAGCTGACAAATCTGCATCTCTTGCACGGCTGCTGCTTCTCTTCCACCCGTTCTACTCATGCCATGGACCAGGCATCTCCGCAAAGCCTGTACATCCCAAATTCAACTCAGTTTCCCCTCACAAGCCTCTCTTCTTCTGGACCTGCATTTGACATATACAGTTTACCCTAACCTTCCTTTTCTCCCATATTCCTGGATTCTTCTATGTAAAGACAGTGTTTGGCAAAGGTTAATATTTGCATGGTACTTTTTTTTTTTTTTGAGGGGGTAGGTATGGAGATATCAAGAAAAAGTTACGAAAATAGAACTTTTACAAAAAGTACACAAGTTTATTGGGTAAGATTCACGGCACGGGCAATGACCCACTGTCAGCACACAACTGTGGGTTGCATCCTCAGAGTCCGTTCACCTCCTCTGCTTAGGGGCCCTGATTTTTTTCACTGGGGTATTTATCCTTTCAGCTGCCCCAGGCATGCTGAGCTAAATCCCAGCTCCAGAGGTGAGCCCAGACTGGCTGAACACAGTCCTATCTTCCTGGCTCCAGTGATGGTTCAGAGCTGGACACAGGCTCTAATTTGGGCTCTAGAAGCAAAACCCAGGATGTAAGCAAGAGTAATTGGAAGAGACCTTTTTTCCTTCCTATGAACAGGGACCTGGTCTGCTGAAGCATGTGGCTGTGTAAAGGGGCCTCCCTATGTGCACTGAAGATGAATACACACATGGCAAAGGGGGAACAGAGAATCTGCAAGGAACCCCATCTTTGGTGACTCTGAGTAGCTAGGCCAGTCATTACTTAAAATGAGCACTCCCTCCAGACTTCCAGGCTTGAGAGTTCCTGGATTCCTCAGACCTACCTGGGTCCCATTTTCTGGCATTTGCAGATCAAGAGTTGTACCCTGTAAATTCACAATCCCACTGCCCCGAGAAGCAATGTCGATATTTTGGGTTTAATTTCTCCCACATGTTTTAATGCATCTATGTATATACAATTTCCTTTTGTTACATTAACAAAATTGAAAATATATACTCTTCTGAAATATTTTAGTTGATAATATTCTTTACCCCTTTTTATGTTGGCTCAATCTATCATGATTGTTCTCAATTATCAGATGACGTCCCCTCCTAGGAATATTCCATAATTGAGATTTCCATTAGGGAACATTTACATTTTCGTCTGTTTCTCAAACTATAAACTTGCCATTCTTATACACGAGTTCTTTTACTTCTAAAAAGTGAAACTGCTCTATCTCTATAAGTGAAATTGCTGGATCATAAAATACATTTATTCTTAAGGCTGTATTTCACCTGATCGCCCTCCAGAAGGAACTTCTATTCCCATCAGCAAGGAGACAGGTTACATTTGACAGATCGGAGGTGACCAAAGGTAAAATGCTCACTAAAAAGAAATAGCCACTTGTTTGCTGCATATTTACTGTGTTTCTTTTCTGTGCCCAACACTGTGGCAGGTGCTGGGGATACACCAGCCTCCTCCTAGACTTGTCTCTGGATCCTTCCTTCTCCAAGGACGGCAGCTTTGGAGAAATGTCTAGCTTTGTGGATGACTTAACAGCATACACATCATGATGTTAGATAAGTGGCATCAGAGAGAACACTTAGGAGATGATAGAGTTCCATCTTGGCACAGGTGGTGACATCGCCGCAGGGGATGCTGCTCACCTACGCTTTCTCTTATGTTCAGGTGCGGCCAGAAGCCTGGAAAGCTCACGCCCCTTGCTGGCAGCGTTCTGCTGAGAGAAGGCTCATGGAAGACACTCGGAAGATGCTGGGAGGCAGCAGGTGCTGTGTTCCAAGAAGACATAGACTCCAGCAAGGGCAGGGGCAGCAGACAACCCAGGTCACCGCGGGACACGCAGGGCTGCAGTACCTGCCCTCAGCTACCCAAGGCTAGGCAAGTCGGCTTTTCTGTTTGCACCCTCATCCTGTTTAACATCCTGTTTAACAATCCCTACCTTAAGTCCTTCTCTGTTTGAAACATCTAGAGTGGTTTTGTTTCCTGACTGACGGAATCACCCAACATCTAAATTATCCTTGAAATTCCGTGAGGAGTGATGAGCTGTGCCTTAGACCCACGTGGCATCTTTCCATAAATCTAACAGAGCCAGACCTTCTGGAAGCAATGGAAAAGACTGCTGGGTTTTTGTTTTGGATTTTTTTTTTTCCCCAGCTAGAACACCAGATGAATTCAGTAAATGGCTTTAAGCTTTGAGAACGCAGCTTGGATGCAAAATATGTATCCTTAAACAATCGGCTCCCTCAGGAAGATGAGATCCACACGTGAGGCAGGTACATACAAACAGAAGCCAGTTGGAGAGAGCAGGAGATCTATGACCCCTGCTAATGCTTATCTCATACTCACATACACTGGGAACATAGAGTGATGACCAGGAAAAGAAAAAGCAAACTGGCCTCACGCCGGACTATTTTGGCAATCCCCGTTTTGCAGAGTGTGTGTACGGTGAGATCCACACAATACAATGTTCATGGGACATGACTCTATCCTCTGCTGCAGTGAGAGGGATGTGGTATACTGTTGTTTTATAGAAACTGCTAGCTGTGCTTCTTTTCAATGGTACAGAAATAGTAAATCGACCCTGATGCTCATTTTTCTTTATGTGCTCCAACACACTAGAGTATGAGTGTGTGAATCACATAGGGGTGCTCCACAATATGAAATATCATAGACCTCCCCTCCCTTGGCCAGGACCCCTTCCTTACTAAACATCAATACTGAAAGCAGTTTCTTTGCCTCATGCACAGAAATACAACCAAACCTGGAAAGCCAACATGGGGAGGCGAACAAGACACAGTGCCATCCCCTAACTCTTCTCCTCCCCGTCTTCTCCTTCACTGTCGTCATCACGATAAAAGATGTCTCTGAACAGAAAGACCTGCCTGGGTGCTGCGGGACTCTGGATTTCGGTACCCTCTTTCTCCATCTTCTTCTCTAACTTTTCCTTGAGCAGAGGCAGGGTGGTCTCGTAAAGGTAGTCTATAATCTCTAAAAAAAAGAAATGTTAGTAGGAGCAAATGCAGCCAGGATTCAAACCCTGGCAAGCTTTCTGCTGAGTGCCAGAAGGAGGTCATTATACACTTCAGGGCAGAGTGTCACCCAAACCCATGGTTCTGGAATACTGCTGCTGGGCAGACTGAGTGAGGCTCTCCTGTTTGCTAAGAGAAAATTTAGACTCTAGACGCAGCCTGGAGGTTAGGATTTGGGATGTATGGGACAAGGCCCAGGTATATATGTGTTCAACAAAGTCCCCATAGGAGTCTGATGATCTGAGTTTGGGAATACCTAGAAAACCCACAAATGGCTGCAGAGAAGGAACTGGACATCTTAGGTTTATTCTGGAATTGTGTGTGTGGCGTGGTGTGTATGTGTCATGTATGTTGTATATGCCCAAGATGGTGATCCAGGAACACTCAGTTATTTACTGAGTGCTTGCCATGCACCGAGCACCCTGCTGACCACGATTCATCTATTATCTTGTTTAGTACCTTTGAAAGTCCTGTCAGGTGGGGATGAGGATGTGACAATCTGTACCATTTTACAACTGAAGAAACTGAGGCTCCCAGAAGATAAGTCACGTGCCCAGGGTCACATTCCCACACAGGGTACCACCTGTTGTGTTCTTAACTATTTCAATGTTGGAAATACTGACCTGGAAAAGTCTTCTTCTGCCAAAAGGGAACACAGGTAGCTTTCAGCTTATAAAATTTAGTTTGAACATAGGACGGAGGAACATCACTTTAGAAAGGAAAAGATAAAAAAAAAAAAGTTAGCATCGGTTTTAAAATCTGGCCATTTCACCACTGTGTGCGAAGCACGCTGATTCGGGGGAAGCTACAGACAAATCCCACACTCTTTACTGCTACACTTAGGGTAAATGCGTTTTTGCATAATCCAAATGCAGATGTCCCCTGATTTTTTATTTTGTGAAGCTAAAAAAAGCAGATGCTTATGATATTTTGGTGAGTCACATGTATTTTCAATTTACGCTAAGGACAGAAATGACCAAATCAAAAATTGTTTCTTAAAGTGAAAATCCCTGACTTCATGTACTGGACACTTTTTCTTAGACAACAAAAGCATGACTTACTTGTTTCTAATAATTACTCTAGTAGTTAAAATAATTAGTGTGAATAACTACTCTTATCAGATTCTTCCTCACAGCAACCACTAGCCAGATGCACACTGTGTCTGCACTGGGCTACGTGTCCTCCATGCACTATCTCCCTGGTCCTCATTATGGTCTTATTAAACCATCTTATATGGATGAAGAAATTGAGGCTCAGACACAAGTTAGGGAACAATGTGCCCAAAGGCAGCTAGACAATTATCACCAAGAGTCAGTGCCAGGTCAGTCTGACCACAAAGGCCAAGTTCTAAGGCCCCTATGCCTTTCCTCTTCTGCAGTGCCGTGTGCCCAATGGGGCGTACTGCAGACCCAAGCTTGGGCTTGGACAAGTCACAATAATGGATCTGGATGTTTTCAAACCCATGAGGCATTCATTATATCTCAGTAGGCGGACATGCTTCCTTTATATCCTGCCTAAATAATTCACAAGAGAGGCTTTAAGACTCCAAAAAGGGGATCCCTGGGTGGCGCAGCGGTTTGGCACCTGCCTTTGGCCCAGGGCGCAATCCTGGAGACCCAGGATCGAATCCCACGTCGGGCTCCCGGTGCATGGAGCCTGCTTCTCCCTCTGCCTGTGTCTCTGCCTCTCTCTCTCTCTCTGTGACTATCATAAATAAATAAAAATTAAAAAAAAAAGACTCCAAAAAGACTCAACTTTTAAATTTAATTATTTTTCACTGTTTAAATTCATTTTTAAAACTTGACAATGCACTATTTTAAACAGTATTGGACTAGATGCCATCATTTCTATTTTACGGTTTTGAGATTTATTAATCTTAAGTGGAACAATCTGTTTTTAAAATACATAATTTTACTAAAAACCATTAAAAGCCCATATTTTAAAAATATTTTATTTATTCATTTGAGAAAGATACAGAGAGAGGGAGAGGAGGAGAGAGAGAAAACTCATTACTGGGCAGGGAACTCAACTCGGGGCTTGATCCCAGGACCTGAGCAGAATGCAGACATCTAAGTCATCCAATCCAGGTGCCCCATTTTAATTTAAGAACTTGTGATCTGAAGCAACATCATAAAATATACAAGAATTACTGGAAAAGCCCAATTTTTCAAAAAGTGGTTTGCTATTCTTTACAAAGAGAGGGCTTTGCGGCCATGAGTGCTTCTCAAGATGGGAGTTGGTGGGTACAGAGCAAGATCCCCTCTTTCAAAGCACCTGCCACCCTCACCTCTCAGGGACCCATGATACTGAGCAGTGGACTTCCCACCCCCTCAGGTCAACTGGAAAAGGGAAGGGTTTGGAACCATGAGCATGTCTGGGACATGGCAAACTTCCCATTCTCCAAGTTACAAAAACCAAACTAATCGTTCTTTGTCCATAATCCCAAGGTGCTAATAACTATGAGACCCAGTTTAAACCCTCGTGGATCAAGGACAATGTCACACTTCTGAAAGTCAGCCAGGTGGCAGCAGCCCTGCCCCACTGTCCAACCTTCCAAAACTAAATGCCAAATGACACCTAACACCCCCGCTTCTGAGAGCTCATCAGTCCCCGCACACCACAGCCCTCAATGATCTGCTCTGCTTACGGGGATCACACTTTGAGAGCAATAAATTGATGCCGAGAGTGGTGGCCTCTGTCTTCAGTAGCAGGAAGGGTTTCAAAACATAAGGATGATTCACAACAAAGGCTCATGGCAAAGGCCAGCAGAGGTAGCTTATGAATATAGGAAAGTTCACTTCACCCCCACAGATGAGAGATGCAAATGAACATGGCCCTCAAAGTACCAAGGGAGCCTTGAAGGAGGAACAGAACCTTCACACGGTCCCAAAATATCTCCTACACCCTTTCTTATCCCCAGGAGAAAAACTGGTATACAGTTAAACAGTGAGGCAACATGGCAGATGCCACCAGAGCCAAAGAATCAAAACTCAGAATTGTGGGCCTCACGACATGATGATAAAGACACAGCATCACCTATGTCATATTTCTGCCTAAAATACAAAAACCTAACCACAAAGAGGCACCAGATAAACTCCACGCAAGGGACAGTCTACAACCAGCCTGTGCTCGCACACGTCCTCAACGTCCCAAAGACATAGAGATTCCTGATAGAGAAGACACTGAGCAGACAGGACAGTTAAATGTGTGGAGCTGGATCGGATGGTAAATCGGGGGGAGATGCTATAGAGGACATTACCAGGACATTGTTAGTGGGGAAATTTGAATGTGGACTGTGGTTTAGAGCATAATACTGCACCAGCATCTGATTTCCTGAATCTAATAACTGCACCGTGATTATGCAGGATGACGTTCTTGTCTAGGACACGCTGCCCACCACTAACCCTGTGGTTAAAGGAAACTACTTTATTCCCTTGGAAGTGGGAGCAGGAGCGGGAGTGGGAGGGTGGATGATAGAGCAAATGTGGCACACTCAAGAATGTATGATTTGGGGCACAGGGTGTGTGGGGTCTCTATGAGTCATTCAACTTGTTAGCTCCCAGAAACTCTCACTTTGCACATGTTTCACTCACACTTCCTACAGGTCTTCAGTGAGGTGGAGGGGTAGAGGAAGGGTCTGATTGGCCCAGGAACCCTGATCAGAGGCTCTATATACACGCACATGCAGAATGATTTACATGCGAATCCCATCAAATCTCAGTCACTCACAAGGCCCGCTCTCACCTTTCAATTAGTCTCACACTGAACACATGGCCTTACCCTATGGCGCTCGCGAGGTCTTCCCAGTCTATCTCGTTAGTGTCCTCCACATTTACCTCATACAATCTACGAGAAAAAAATGAACACAAGGTTTTTAAGCACACATCAGCACGAGGGAAACCCTCGTGAACTCACATACGTCCCAGCTTCCCCAGCCCAGTGAGGTTGGCATGCCAGCCCAAGGTCATTCACACAAGAAAAGCCATCTCTCCTCCTCCTGGGCCCTTTGCATCTCCCACCAAACCGTGTTGCTTTCCCCCAGTAAACAGTCCTGCAGACACATAGTAATGGTATGTGTGTGCCCAACATTACCATGTGCCAGAGCTGTGTTGAGACTTTCACACCTGCTGAGCTCAGGGGAGTACCTCTGTTCCACAGCAGAGGGAACAGGGCCAAGGGCCTGAGTCATTGGCTCAAGGTTTCATGACTATTGAAGCGTGCCAACACTGGAGCCCAGGCCTGCCTGACACGATGGCCTCCTCAGGGCTGCTAGTCTCTGTGCTGCCTCTGGTAGAAGGGAGGTGGAGGCACCACAGGCCAGGCCACTGTGGAGAACTTCAAGCAGGGCTTAGGACACAGAGCAGGAAGGATGAGGCTGGACAGGGTGGCCAAAATCCCAAGTTTCTTCTGCTCTTTGCTGTTACCCATTTGGGCTCCTGAGCCCAGCCCATGAGCCTTGATGGCTTTGGAAATAAAACAGGCCTATGCCGCCCCTGCATTCAGTGGAGGGAGGACTCTGGGTGGACCAGGAACCAAAGACAAAACCAAAGACCAGGCAACAGTGATACCAACTAAGCCATGCTGAAGAGCAGCAGGGCTCAGCTAGAATTATTGACCTCCACTTGCCAAAGGACAGACTTTCACCCACACAGAACTTTCAAAGTCTGAGACCACTCCATTTATCACGTGTGTAGTTCATTTTACATGCATTATTTCACTTCTCCTCCCCAAAACACCAAGAGGCAGGTACTGTTATTATCACCCTCATTTAAAAGGAACCAAGACCTAGAAAGGCAGGAAACGTCCCCAAGGTCATACATGTAGGGAGCACTGAAAGAAGGCTCTGAACCTTAGCAATGTCATTGCGGATTGTGCTGCTCAACAGATACTCTTGGGTGAGAGAGAGAAATAGTTAGAATAGCATTGCTTTCTATTTTGGTACCTTTCAATCAGGTTGATTTTGGCCTGCAGGGCATTAACTCCGCGGTATACATCCCGACCATTTGTCATCCTCTTGGTTAGGATTTCCGTCCTGCGTGAAAAGAAGCAAACACACAGTATCCTTTCAGGGGTGAAGTTTGCATTGATTTCCAGCACTTTTCTCACCTACATCACCATTACTGAGAACTAGTTTCTGACTTGTGACTCGTCACGGCTAACATTTTCCACCATGGAGAGTATGTCTGTTTCCTTTCTGAAAGTGGGAAGTGATCAACAAAATGACAGAAAGTTGATAGTTACTGAAACTGGATGAAGGATACAAGGAGTTCTAAATTCTTGTGTGCTATGAAACTTCTGTAATACAAAGAAAGTTACAAAAGTGAGAAGAGAAGCAGGTGCTAAAAGAAACTGTAAGCTCTATTTTTGATTGTTTTAAAACAGAGGGACACTGCTGTTGTGACTGTCACCGGCTCTCGGGAACACCGAGAGAGACTTAGTACAGTCATAAATGATTCCACTAAAGACCCAAAGCTAATGGCTGGAGGGAAGGGTGACTGGAGCTCCTAATGAGAGCTCCAAACAACCCAGTCAAAAATATTTTTTAAGGACTCCTCTCAAATAGCAAAACTGGTCATGATCTGATGGATAGGATCTCTAGCTGGATAAGGGGATTCACAATACACATTATGAGGATGATGCTGCTGTTCATACTAGCAACCCTCTGTTCGTTTGAAATGCATCCTCTAGGCGCCTGGGTGGCTCAGTCAGTTAAGCAACTGACTCTTAGTTTCAGTTCAAGTCATGATCTTAGGGTCTCAAGATGAAGCTCATCACCGAGACTGCTTAGGATTCTGTCCCTCTCCATCCCCCCCAACTGCTGCCACCCCAAGCACGTGCTCCCACTCAAACAAATAAATGAAACATATCATCTTTAGGTCATTTCAATTTATAGGAAGGAAATCTACATTCAGGTTTCAAGTTTCCTGCTCTTCAAGTTAAAAAGCAGTCACTCTTACACATCATCCTAATTACACTATCCTGTAGCATGGCTGCTCCGCAGCATTTCCCTTTTAAAACACTGATCTATCATCCTCCAACTGCTTATAAAACACTCCTTCTTTTAGTCTAAACTATAAGGGTAGAAAAGGACCCTGGTTCCTCCATATTATATGCTTTGTCCCCTAAAACCATCATCTGTTCTGTGGAGTTTATGTGTGTAGACTTCCATGAAAATAAACAGATAATTCTACAACAGAATTCTAAGGTAACAATAAATGATATTAATTTAGGAGCCTGCTTTTAATATAAAATATACCAAACTCTGGATCTCACTCTTATTTGACACTGATGATGACTGCATGTCCTTTGTGTACAAGGTGTGGGCCGTGAGCTGTGGGACCCCTACTCCAAGGGGCCCTGTAGCAGCTGAACACCCAGCTCAGAGACCTTGCAGGGCTTGGAAAAGCCACGTCAGGCAGAGAATGTGCAGGGAGGTCAGGACTGAGAATGCTACTATGTGACAAGTGTATCTTAAGAAGTTCTACAGTGAATACCACACCTGGAGCTAGTGAGGATAGAGGAACCACGGAACAAGACAGGCTTGTGGAAAGGGCAAGCTACTGCATAGCACCGTGCTCGTGATCTCTCTCCTAAAGGGGAGTTTTGTGTTTTTTTTTTTTTTTTTTATGCTGCAAAGAGACAACTATCTTGTTTTACTAAAGACTTAGCAAGGGACAGAGTGAAGAAACTAAAAGTCAATAACGGGTATTAAAGATGTTCAGGTTCCTTTTGAGGAAACCACATGATGAATCAGGGTTAGTGAAGTGCTAACTTGGATCGGATGCTGATACTGAAGTGGTTAGAATGGCTGGCCAGAGATGATCATTCTTGCCATAGAAGGCTTTGTACACACTACTCACACAGATCTCCTTACTAATCCCACCCATCTCCCCACTCTAATGATGTGCGTGGTGTGTGTATTTGGGGGGGGGGGTGGGAAGGAGGGAAATATCTTAAAATTTATATAAGAAGCCTTAAAACTTACCACTTACTTTTACACTGCATCCAATTTCTGGTTTCTACTTTGGCTTCTACTTCTACCCAAGATATGCCCTTGTAGAGTTTTTCCCTAACAATAGACAAGCAGCCTTCAGGATTATCTTGGAGTTTAGAATCCACCTCTTTTAACTCATGGGGAGACATTTTCTTTAGAATCACTTCTTCGACAGCCTTGATAAGTTTCTGAGTTTCCGTCTTACTCCAAGCACCGTGATTTCTTGCTATAGACATAAAAGGATGATTTTATAGTTGCTATTTGTTTTCAAGCACAGTATTAAGAAAAAAATGATAGTGATGGATACATCCCATTACACATTTGTCCAAACACATACACCACCAAGGGTGAGCCCTAACATGAACTATGGACCTGGGGGATAATGATGGGCCAGCGTAGATTCATGGACTGTGTCATTTGTGGAAGGGAGGGAAAGATGTTGATAATGAGGGAGGCTGTATGTACGTGGGCGCAGGGTACATACGGGAAATCTCTGCACCTTCCTTTCCATTTAACTGTGAACCCAAAGCCGCTCTAAAAAAATAAAGTCTAAGGGGTGCCTAGCTGGCTCAGTCAGTTAAGTGTCTGACTTAGATTTTGGATCAGGTCATGATCTCAGCTCAGGTCATGATCTCAGGGTCTTGAGATCCAGCCCTGCGTTAGATTTCATGCTGAGTGTGGAGTCTGCTTGATATTCTCTCTCTCCCCCTCCCTCTGTTCCTTCCTCCTTCACCCACTCACTCTTTTCTCTCTGAAAAACTAAATAAATCCTTAAAGAAAAGATAAGTCAGGCACTTTTCAGAAGACAATGGGCAACATCTCAATTACACAAACATACAACCGTCAAACATAGCTACACACAAATTAAAATGGAACCACTTCTTTTTAAGGAACACTGCCAAGGGGGGCTGGGAGGCTTAGTTGGCTAACCATCCACTTTTGGATTTGGCTCAGGTCCTGATCTCATGGCTCATGAGATCAAGCCCTGCATCAGGCTCTGTGCTCAGCAGAAGACTGTGGGAATATTCTCTCCCTCTATCCACCAAGCCCCCAACCCTGCGCTCATGCTTGAGAGCCCTCTCTCTCAAATAAATAAATCTTTTTTTTTAAATTTTTATTTATTTATGATAGTCACAGAGAGAGAGAGAGAGAGAGGCAGAGACACAGGCAGAGGGAGAAGCAGGCTCCATGCACCAGGAGCCCAATGTGGGATTCGATCCTGGGTCTCCAGGATTGCGCCCTGGGCCAAAGGCAGGCGCCAAACCGCTGCGTCACCCAGGGATCCCTAAATAAATAAATCTTAAAAAAAAAAGGGGGGGGGAACCAATGCTAGAAAAGTCCTTTCTTAAGGCAATGTATGTTTTTTTATTTCAAAAACATTGTTCTTGTTTCTGAGAATAATGTCTCCCAGGTGAACCTGGGATGTTCTCAAACATTTAATGGGGACAAAATAACCACACACCACCACTCTGTTGGCCAAACCAAAGATATCTGTAGGCTGGTTTGAGGCCTCTTCCTCAGCCTGACTGTGACCATCTAGACAAGGAGGATGAACCACAGATGGTTTGATGCCCTCCTCAGAGGTTGCCTTAAAGTTCAGGTGCCTTTTGTCATTGTGGCCTGGGGTCACAATGCAGCCTAGTGACCCACTGGGAGCTCTGGGGGAGAGTTACAGACAATATAAAGTGGTGGTGTTACTTTTTCTCCACAATTTAGATGAATATTTAAAAATTAAGAGTACCACAGGAAAAAAAAAATCTACACTACACACACACACACACACACACACACACACACACACACACACAGACACCCCAAATCCAGACTTCTGTTTTACTTCTCAGAACCTGGAAGAACTGGCCACACTGAGTCCTTGCATGGCTCCAGTGGCTGGACGTGGTGGCACAAAAGGCATGGCTCCCAGTCACGTCAGGTCCACAGATGCCCGGCCACTCCTCCTGCCACACGGCCCTGCCATCTGATGGAGCATGTCACCCCTTGTGGGCTGTCCTCTTGAAGCAACTCAGGATTTTATAATGCAACAGATAGAACCAAGAAAACTTTTTATGAAAGAGGAGAAAAAGACACAGGAGTTTTAGAAAAGTCCTTGCCTAACCTCTGTTGCCCACTGGTGGGGGGGAACTCCTCCACGCTGGCTCTGCTACCCGCCAGCTCCCTAGGGTATTGGTCAAGCTGGTGGTGAGAGCTGCGCTGAATGGGACCAACCTCAGGTGGCAGGAATCGGGCTTGTGAATAGAGGCTGCATGGTTTCAGAAACACACATGAGGAAATGCAAAGAATCAGGATGGAGGACGGCTTAAAAAGTGCTCCCTCAGAAGACAGGCAGGCCTGGATGCCTGCACCAGGGGTCCGGGGGCTCATCTGCTCACCCGGGGGGCACCAGAGACCACCACTTACGACTGCCAATTTGGGAGAACTTCAGGGCAACGGAGAGGCTGCTTCGAGCCACCATTTCGCCAATCTTTTTCCAGTCGTTCCCATGCAGGGAATGGTATATCTTTAACTTCTCCATATCTCCTTTGCTATACCTGAGAGAGGGGAAACATGTCACAATTCTCAATTAAGTACAAGATGCCCGAAAAACTGTATTTTCGGGGTGCCTGGGTGGCTCAGTCAGTTAGGCGTCTGCCTTCGGCTCTGGTCGTGGTCCTGGGATCGAGCCTTGAGTCGGGCTCCCCACTTAGTGGGGGAGTCTGCTTCTCCCTCTTCCCACTGCTCATGTTCTCTCTTGCCATCTCTCAAGTAAATAAGTAAAATGTTAAAAAAACAAACAAAGTGTATTTTCTTTGCAGTTCCCTGTAGTTCCGAGAAGAGTTGCTGGAACAGGCTGGTCCCAAGGACCAGAGCTCCCGTCACTTCCTATCCCAGCATCTTGGATATGGTCACCCTATAAATCAGTCACTGCAGTCCCAGGCCACAGGCCTGACTCAGTTACACAGGAGCCAGAGCAAATAACTGGGTCACTTTATTCCCCATCCAAACCCCTAAGGCTTTGTACTGCACATACAAAATACCAGCTCCTCCATGTGCCTACTAGGCCCAGTGCTCCCTACAGTTCAGCCCCACTAGCCTTCTTCTTTTCCTTCTTCCTCTTTTTTTTTTTTTTAGAGATTTTATTTATTTATTCATGAGAGACACACAGAGAGAGGCAGAGACATAGGCAGAGGAAGAAGCAGGCTCCCCACATGGAGCCCGATGTGGGACTTGATCCTGGATCACACCCTGAGCCAAAGGCCAACACTCAACCACTGAGCCACACTGGTGCCCCCCCCCACTAGCCTTCTTTAGGCCTTTCTCCCCTAGGAGCCTCTGTGCTGTGGTGAAAATGGCCTTCCTTCACCCACCTGGATGGCTCCTGAGAACCCTGAGGGTGGCCCATCTTCAGCGAGGCTGCCCCGACCACCTGAGCATCCTGTCCCCTTGCTGTTCTCCTCCAGAGAAAACTCTGCCCCTTTCACCTCACTCCCCACAGACAGGGAGTAGCACATCTAGAGGTCCCACCACTTACCCATCTCTTCCCCTAGACCAGCGCTGTCCCACATAAATGTACTATGAGCCATATATTTAATCTAAACCTTGTAGTGGTTGGGTGAAAATGAATTTTATATCATTTTAATAAATATAATAAAATACTAGATTTAATCCAATATATTAAAAATGTTAATCATTTTGACACGTAACTGGAATCTGAAAGTATTAATGAGATATTTCATATTATTTCCTTCTAACTCCAGCATGTATGTCACTCTTACGACATCTCTGAACTTGGGACTAAATTGATTTCAAGTCCTCCTCAGCCACTTGAGGCTGGTGGCCACTGTGATGGACAGGACGGTTCTAAAGGGCATGTCCTACGAGGGCAGGGGCGCTGTTGTTTCTACACCATGGTATCCATAAGGCTTGACAGACAGGAGACATTCAATAAATATGTAACAAATGGCTTCACACAAATACTCAATTATTTAAGGAACGTACAGTGTATTAATCCCACATGAAAACAAATATTCTAAAGACAAGGACCAAAAAAACACTAAAAGTGGATCTGGAGATTAAATCCCTTCAGTGTCTAAGTGAAATGAAAGCAATCCTTAGGGCATTCTATAATTCCTTAATATGGGGATGGGGAATGGTGGTTATGTTATTACTAACTCAATCTAAGAGAAGCCTTAGCAAACTACTAACCGTTCCTGAGAACAGTGATCCAGAACTACTTTCAACAGTGCCTAGCACTCTCAGAAATTCAACTACAAATGCAGAGTGCAATTTAGTAGAAACCTATAATCCTTCAGTAAAGAATCAACCTTTCTAGCAGTTTCCTTCTCAAGGCAGTCAGGGTATTTCTGAGATTAAAAACAAATTAATCAACAAAAAAGGAGGAGAAGAGAGAGAAAGTGAGGGCATAACAATGAGGAAACAGGTACTGACCTCTGAAGTCCCCCAGGGCTTTAAAACTCTTTGATTTTTGACTTTCTGTGGGTTTTTTTTTTTTTTTCCAGTTAAGAATCCTTAACTTAGAAAAAATATTCTAAGGGTGAATGGTTAGCATACACAAATCATGTGGTGCAAACAAATGAATTAACTTTCTTATTAGAATGACAGACTTCTATTATTCTAAACCTTTCATTCCCATGCTTATGTCGCAGTTAGAAAAATTCACCTCAGCTGCCACCATTCATTTGCCAAAAGCAAATTCTTTCAAGTCTCACTTAAAATGTCATCTTTAGTGAATATCCTTAAGGCTCTGTCCACAGATGTCCAATCCCAGGGCTTGGGAAAAAGGGGAGGGCAGGTATTAGTCTTCGGGCAATCTTTTCCTCTGCTTAAGGTGTATTTTTTTTTGGTCAAAATTTAAGAAACCAAGGTCATATCAGTGTTTGGAGGTCAGATAATATGTATGTCTTGGTTTAAAATCATGCAGCTAGGGGCGCCTGGGTGGCTCAGTTAAGTGTCTGTCTTCACCTCAGGTTGTAATCCCAGGATTCTGGGATTGAGCCCCATATCAGGCTCCCTGCTCAGTGGGAAGTCTGCTTCTCCCTCCCTCTGCTCCTCCCCTCTCCTTCTCTCAAATAAATCAATAAAACCTTTGAAAAAAGCAAAAAAAAAAAAAAAAAAAAAACACCAAACCAAAACAAAACAAAAGACAATGATGCAGCTACCTGGAACACAACTGGCCCTGCCACTAGATTTATTAAATCTGCTTTCCAGAGTGAGATAAAGTAGCTGAGCCACTGGTTGTTTGTCTGGGCCCTCAGAGGGAGAGGCTGATGCCTTCTTGCCTATTCCCTCTCTCCTGAAGCAAAGTGCTTACCTGTAGCTAACACCCGAACTATGCTAGTTTTATCTGGAACGTTAGGAACAAAATATAATTGGGTATTTTACTTGGGGAAAAAGGGAGAATGGCTATCACAAGACACTCTGCATTGTCACTACCGACCCACTCCTATGTGACCTCCTGTTAGTGTTTATCCCACCTTCAAATATTCACTAAAAACTCAAAGAATTGTGCTGAGTGCTGAAGGGAACACCGCATTGAAAAGGAACGTTAGAGGGGGTGCCTGGGTGGCTCAGTGAGTTGAGTGTCATAGCTCAGGTCATGATCTCAGGGTCCTGAGATGGAGCCCCACATCTGGCTCCCTCTTCAGCAGGGAGTCTGTGTCTACTACTCCCTCTCCCTGCTGCTTGTGCTCTCTCACCTTCTCTGTATCTCTCAAATACATAAAATCTTAAAAAAAAAAAAAAAAAAAGGAAAAAAGAAAAGGAATGTTTGGGTACACAGGGAGCTCAAAAATTAGCAGAGAGCAAAGAACTTCATGACTAACATAAAAGAGGCATGGTACACTTAGTGCTTAAAAAACAAAACAAAAAAAAAAAACAATAAAACAAAACCCAAGGATTTAGAATGGGCAAGATCGCAAGTGTTTACTAAAGATGCAGAAACTGGGCAGTCTGGGTGGCTCAGTGGTTTAGCATCGCCTTTGGCCCAGGGCGTTATCCCTGCATGGAGCCTGCTTCTCCCTCTGCCTATGTCTCTGCCTCTCTCTCTCTGTCTGTCTCTCATGAATAAATAAATAAAATCTTAAAAAAAAAAAAAAAAGAGAGAGGCAGAAACTGAAATGGGCTCTGAAGATATACACCTGACCACAGACATACAGTCTGCTTTCACACACAAAAGATGTTCACGGTTTTTTACCACTTATGTGTTGTGGACATTCTGATTTATACCATCAGCGAAGACCAGAGAAATGTTCTGCTCAAGCTGCTAAGACTTTTTCTTACCTGCCTTTGTAGTTATTGATATCAAACATCTTCTTTGCTCGATAGTAGACAAGCTTCCAGGGCCGGGCAATGCCCTTTCCTAAAGCCAGAAGAAAGGCAGTCAGAGGGACACATAGGCTTGAAATGGAGTCACAATTGTAAAAGGAACCCAGCATGGCTCCTTTTTAACACCATGACCCTAGACCCTGTGTCAAGGCTGGGATCTCACACACCCTGCACAGCGCCAGGTGGGAAGCAGATGCACAAAATCACCAGAGTCCTCGGAGAGATCTGAAAACTACCTGCTTACTATGTCAAGGCTCTCATTTTTGGTCTACCAAATTCCAGGGAAAGGCCCTTATAAAGCAAAGTATCATTAACAAAATTTGATTCAAGAGCAAAGGATGCTAAAGTGGAGGACACATGCCAACTGTTTCCCATAAGATTAACAGAAGAGCTTTCCAAACAAGCAAGCTTTGCTTGCTTCCTCACTCTAAGGACAAAATGGCCTCTTGACAGGGGCGCCCTAGTCTGTTTTCTCTTGTGCACTTGATAGAACACCTAAGAAATCATTCTCTTTAAATTCAGGGATTTTTTTTTTTCAGTCCGATGACGTGTTGCTTCATAACTTTCTCACTTTCCAAGGACATCTGCAGGAGGAGGGTTCCACTGGCAAAGCACAGATAAGGCAATACTTGGAAAACTTCGAAGACCCTGGTGCACATAAGAATGTGCTTTGGGGTGCCTGGGTCGGGTGAGCATCCGACTCTTGATTTCAGCTCAGGTCATGATCTCAGGGTCATGAGATTGAGCCCTGCATCAGGCTCTGTGCTCAGCAAGGAGTCTGCTTGAGATTCTCTCTCTCTCTCTGGCTCTCTCTCTAATAAATAAAATCTTCTTGTAAAAAAGAATGCGCTCTGTGCAGCATATGCAAAACAACACATAATAAAGACCGGGAAGAGAAACCAAAATGATACTTATTACCATGTAGGAAAGCTAGAAGTTGGTTGTGTCACTTTTTATAAAATCTGGGGAGACAAGAACACATTCCAAATGCCCAAAAGTACAGGCTGTCAGTAAGAATGCTACTGAGTTAGCGACAGATGGGGCCAGGCAGGGAAAGATAAGGGAAAGGCCCAGAGTTGGGCTCCCATAAATCCCAAGGACACCAAGGCTCCTACCAATCCCAAGGAAACAGAGATAAGAAAGCAAAAACAGGCAAAAATAATAATAATAATAATAATTCTGGCTCCCTAGCTCCAAAATGTTAGGAAGTATTTCCCTTTGATGGCTAGCAAGTAATCACAGAACGTTTTCACCAGACGTGAAAGACCAGACCACAAAGAAGTAAGTCCTTAAGGATATTATCAATAGTCTTTGCTCAAACCAAAACTACACAAGAATCTCAAGGCCACAAGCTTCCCAGTCAGTTCTCAATAAAAGGCTGCCACTAACAGCCTTTAGTGGCAACCCTGTTGGGATCCCTCTCACTTCTGAGAGCTTTCTCTGTATCTTTGCTTAATAAACTCCTATCGCTTTACTCACTTTTCATTGTCCACGAGATTCATTTTTCGATCCTGTGAGAAAAGAACCGAGCTCTCCCGTATTACTACTAACCACAGCAGCAGGTAACATGTACCACGTGGGCCAGGTGCTGCACTAAGTACTTACCATGGGTTCTCCCTTTAGGGTTGGAAGGCTGTGGATGGTCAAAAAGCAAACAGTTTTAAACTTACCAATGTGCAATCGAAATGCATATTTTCTTTTTAAGTCGGTGATCACAGATTTCTCCTCTGGGTATCTGTCTGTGTACAGCAGTTTGTCTGCATTCTCGATTCCTGTCAGGGACAGAAATTCTTGCACATTTTTCTCTAGCTGCTTATTTTCCTTTACAGAAAACTTGCCAAATCGAATAGCAACACCTAGGATTTGGGTGGTGAGAAAAAGTATGTATTGTCAATAATGAAAAAAGCCTACCACCTGATCTTCAGCAATTACAATAAGGTGGCCGGCCAGCCCCCCCCCCCCCCCAGCAAACTTCCTGCCCCCTGCCGGCAACAGCCCCTGGCACTGGAGGTGAGTTTCCCAGGCCTGGCTGGCTACACTACCCCGACCCCTGCTGTGGACCTCTTACCCCTTCAAGTATAGCATAAGCCCCTCAGCTCCCATAGTCTTCCCTGGTCATCCTCTTCCAAAGTGATCTTCCCCATTTATTAATCTCTTTTGAAAATAGTTATTTTTTATATTAAAAAAGAATATACACTCATTAAAAATTCAAGCAGTATGGAAATAAACATCTAAAAGCAGCATCCTTCCCCTTTACTCTCTTCTGCTACACTCCTCTCCCCAAGGTGGTGCTGTGAATTGGCCAAAAAGAGCTTGAATATTCACATACCCTCTATGCATACCTATGCGGGGTGAGGGTAGCAACATCACCATGCTTTACATTCTTTCATAAATCCCTTTTATAACTCAAAGCAACCAAGTTTTATTATGTATTGATAGTCTTATATACTATGTTTTTCTATGCTTAGACTCATTTTAAGAGTATCTTTTTATAAAATACACAAATAGAATGGGACCATTCTATAGATACTACTCTATGAATTATATTTTTCTTTTCTGTTTTTTCAAATGAATCTTTTCAACATGATTAACTCCGTAAGGCCAGCATTCTACTTTTCACAATGACCAAAAGTACTGGGCCTCACGGAGTTACTCAGTAAATAATCACTTATTTGTAGCAAACAGCCTTAAATTTGTAGTTTACTCTTCAAATTCCATAAGCTTTCTGGGAGGTTCTTAAAAAAATGAAATTAAGGAGACCACACTGGGTCCTTGTGTGAAACGGTGGCCACTAGGACCAGCCTACCCTCAACTTAATACCTTGGGGAAGGAAGCTATGGTTCATCAATACTGTTTTCATTTTCTTTTACTACTGCATCCTCCCTAAGGGTTCAGCCACTGGGCCTCCTTCTCTTCTTCTGGGCTACACTAGGCTCCTCCACCCCATTCTTCTGTGCCTCCCCTACCAGAAGCTAGGTGGAGAAGACCAAGAACCCGGCTTCTAGACCCAGGCTTCTTATTTTGCTAATTTTATGGCTCAGATAACAATTCGGGAAGGAGGGGAAGCTGAAAGCACCCTAGAGGATGCTTCTTGTGAATCTAGAAATCTGCATCACTCACAAAACAAAGGCAGGGGCTCGGGAGGCAGACAGGAAAGTAGACAGGAAAGTTTGACAAATATTAAAGTGCCACCAGCTCACCCTGTGCTTTAAATTCCTTAAACCGCCCCAAGTCATCCCGGTACATCCGCTTGATTGTAGTGGCGGCCCTTTCCTTGATGTCTGGAATGAATTCTTGGAGCTGTTTCACAGCAGAGTCCAAATCCACATCTGAGTCACCGGAATCTCTTGAATCTTCTGATAGATATTTTGTTTCAGAATCTTTGGCCAATTCCAAGTGGATTTCCTCTTCATTTGTAGGTTCTAAGCTGTGAGGGGAGAATTGGATGGACTCACATTAATGTATCACTTGCCCTAGTGAATTTCCAATTCTTTTCTTAAAATGATCCTTACTTAGGCTAGACAGTGTTAGAGCTAGGAGGGATGTTGGAGCTGATTTGGTCTGTGACATTTGGACTCTCTGATGTAATTTTACTAATGTGCACACACCTCAGAGGCCAGGAGGCCTGAAGCCCTATTTCCAGGATGTGCTAGTTATTTATGTCACTATGTCCCAATTATTCTTGTTTATTTATGTCGCTATGTCCCAATTATTCTTGTTTCAGATACTGACTTCTTAATGAGCTAAGCCCTGTTCTATCCCATGGACACTCAAGACACCTCCCCCTCAACCCTTCCAAGGATTTAAATTTTGTGATAATGGTTACTAATCAATTAAATCACTATTCAGGGCCCATGTGGTTACAGTTCCTTTGCTGCAGGTGACAATGGCCACATTTTCCCCCTCTGCTTAGTTTTCTATGCATCTGTCACTAATTAATCCCCAAACTCTCTGCCAGATGTCCAAATCCCCTCTATGGTCAATCTTATCAGCTAACCACTCAGGCAGGAAATTTAAAAAAAGGAAGAAAAAGAAAAATTGTGTGCATTTGTCTGAGCAAAGGCTCAGCAGCTTTCAGAAAGCCCACAGCCCAATACAAGTTTCAAACCACAGTCCTCAATATGCCTGCCTCACATCAGCATTTCCCCTGATGGAGAAGAGGTGAATGGGCCCCACTTACTGATACCACCTGAAGTGGCATCCTCTCTCATTGAACTTTTTTTTTGTGGGAAACCATTTTAGGCCAGGGCTACCTAACAAATATAAGAAAGAAAAAAAGAGCCATTGAGTAAAAATGGGGAGAAAAATCTGTCCCAAGTCCTAGGAAACAAGATAAAGTGGTTTAATTAAAAACAAAACAAAACAAAAAAAACCCTGCTCTATTATAAATGCTGTGTTTGGGATCCCTGGGTGGCGCAGCGGTTTAGCGCCTGCCTTTGGTCCAGGGCGCGATCCTGGAGACCCGGGATCAAATCCCACGTCAGGCTCCCGGTGCATGGAGCCTGCTTCTCCCTCTGCCTATGTCTCTGCCTCTCTCTCTCTATCATAAATAAATAAAAATTTAAAAATAAATAAATAAATAAATAAATCCTGTGTTTATTCTATCAGCCAGTTGACTTACACAATAATTATATAATTACGCCTAAATTTCTTTTATTAGGGAGAACCCTACTTCAAGGTCTTTCCTGCTCTATAAAAATTCTAAGTTACATGATCCTTTTCTTCTGTGTTATGCACACAGACAAAGGTAATTCAGAGGTCTTAAGATGCCCTTTTATTTATTATTATTTTTTAAAGATTTTATTTATTTATTCATGAGACACACTGAGAGAGAGAGGCAGAGACATAGGCAGAGGGAGAAGCAGGCTCCATGCAGGGAGCCCAATGTGGGACTCGATTTCTGGACTCCAGGATCACACCCTGGGCTGAAGGCAGACGCTTAACCACTGAGCCACCCAGGCGTCCCTTAAAATGCCCTTTTAAACCTATTTGTAGAATTTCAGGGATGGCATAGTTCTCAGTGAAAATCCAATCTAACTGCTTTACTTTATACATGAAGAAAGGAAGCTTCCTGCCAAGTCACTCAGTTCAATGTATACATCGTTCTGTACATTTGATGGTCTGTCTCTCTATGATTTCTGCCATTTACTACAGATGCACTGGATAAAGAGGTCATGGGCAGAATTCACACAAAAGACATACACACCAGGAGACACAACATTCCCACGTTACCTCTGCACCTCTTCCAAACAGGCCTGGGTTTTCTCCTCCTGTGGCCTGGGTTTCGCACTTTCTTCAATCAGGGCACCATTACCTTCTAGTGAATCAGAATGTGCATCCTCAAAGCTTGCAGCAGGCACTGTGAAATCACCACCTGGCATTACGAGACTTTCAGAAGACCTTCGCTTCCTCTTCTTAGACCTTTTCTTCACTCGACCAGCAGTCCCAACTTCTGCAGTCCCAACTTCACTGACCCCTCGCCATTCTTCTATGGTCCCAACTTCACTGACCCCTTGCCATCCTTCGGAGTACGCATCCTCGACACTACCAGGCCCAGCCAATGCCTCAAGTTCCCAGTGGTGTGAATTTTTTCTCTTTTTTTTCTTACGCTTTTTTTTATCGACTGCTACTGGTAGTTGTGGGATTCCGCCCTCTGGGCCCACAGAAAGCAGGCCTTCCAGCTCCTGCGGATCTGGATCCGACTTGGGCAGGGCGAGCCTAGCAGGTGGGCTCTCCTGCTCAGCATCACAGGAGGTCTCTTTCCTCTGATGTTTTTTTTTACGTTTTGTCTCCTTAACTCGACAGTTCAGCTCTTCCAACTCGTTTTTATGTGACTTAGGAACTGAATGTAGTTCACCTGCTTCAGGATCTTTTGCTGGTTTTTGTTCCTGGCTCACATCAACATACACGACATCGACATCCCTCCTAAAATTCTTTGGGGTGTTCTCGATATTTTCTTTATCCACTAGGACATACACCACACCTGTTTCCTCATCCACTCCTGAATCTCTGTGCTTTTTCTTTCTTTTCTTTTTGGGTACAGAAGTGGCCATTTCAGTCTCATCACATATTTCTGATTTTTTCAAAGGGGAAGAAAGAAGATGCTGGAAATCCTTTCTTTTTTTTTTATTCTTGGTTACACGAGACTGCTCACTTGCCAGGAGGGAGTCTCTGACACTTTCATGGGGATGCCTTAGATGTCCTTCCTTATATACAGAATACTTTTTCTTTTTCTTGTCAAAAACTGGAGTATGAATTTCCAGTCTGCTCGATTCTCCTTCCATTCTGTTCCTGTGGGGAAATGACAACAATGGTTTATTTTGGGAAAGCATTTATTTACTTTTTATTTTTTTAAAGATTTTATTTATTTATTCATGAGAGACACACAGAGAGAGGCAGAGACATAGGCAGAGGGAGAAGCAGGCTCCTCGCTGGGAGCCCAATATGAGACCTGATCCCATGACCCTGGGATCATGCCCTGAGCTGAAGGCAGATGCTCAACCACTGAGCAACCCAGGTGTCCCCTGGCAAAGCATTTAAAACCTCACTCTCAGGAAAAAAAAAAAAAAAATCACAGAAAATTGAGATTGTATGACAAATGACAAGGCTGGTGTCATGATCATAAATTTTGTATTATTCTAAATGCACAGGAAGTTCACTGTAATTTGCTGTCTGGTCCCACTGGCTTTATGATATGGCAAAAAAAAAAAAAAAAAGTTAACAGAGAATAACAGTACCCAGCATGATCAGGGCCCTGTTCCCCTCCTGCCTCATCTTTTACCTCTCCTGTCCAACTTTGTGCTCTAGCCACACATGCCTTTTTTTGGGTTCCTCAAACATGCCACACATTCTTTCCCTGGCTCAAGGTCTTATACCCTAGGAGTCCCTCTTTCTAGAATGCACTCTGCAGCCTCCCCATCCTCCCACTTCTTTTCATCCTTCAGAGCTTGGCTTTAGTATGGCCTCTTCAAGAAAGCTCTCCCTAGCTAAAGTGATACATTATGATACTATGTCTACTAAGTTTAAAACCACAAAACAATTTTACATTATCTTTTCTGATAACATTTGTCTTTTCTGAAAATATTTATTTTATAGGTGTGGGGATTACAACTGGCAAATGCAAATCAGGGACAGTACAGAGCCAGTTTCTCTTATATTTGTCATCTTTCATTTCTTTTATTAATTGGTGGTAATGAGAACAAGGGTGTTTGTTATATTTTTATTTACACTTATTTGAAAGCTTGTAATAGTTCACTTAAAAAGCAAGAAGTAGAACAAGGGTACAGATGCTTTTATTTGTATTTAAAAACAAGCAACTAGGGATGCCTGGGTGGCTCAGTGGTTTAGCACCTGTCTTTGGCCAAGGGCGTGATCCTAGAGTCACAGGATGGAGTCCAGCATCAGACTCCCTGCATGGAGCCTGCCTCTCCCTCTGCCTATGTCTCTGCTGCTCCCTCTCTGTATCTCTCATGAATGAATGAATAAATAAATAAATCTTAAAAAAAAAAAGCAAGCGACTAAAGGATATACACATATAAGTATTTACAAAGGAGGAAAAGAAGGAGGAGGAGGTGATGGAGAATGAGAAAAGCATTCTTTGACCCCCTGGGTCCATGCATTCCAAGGTGATATACTTTCAGAGCAAGCTGTACTTCACCTTTGTAGCACTGAGATCATACTGTACTTTAAAGAATAAAATGCTTAGTTATTTAACTAGTCATTTCATGTCTGTCTCTTCTGCTAAAAAAGTAAACTCCCAAGAAAGAAAGCAGTTTGCCTGTCTTCTTGCCCTCTATATTTCCACCATCTAGAATCCACATTCTGGAATTCCTTTAGAGATAAGTTTCCATGCATCTTTGGGTGACACCAGGTAGAAAGGCCTCTAGGTGCCTCCACTGAAGGGGAGGTCCTGGGACCGGGGGATCTGACTTATGGGGATAAACCCACATGTTCTTTCATACTTTTCCTTCCCTCTAGCCACACAACTCTCAAAGCATCTTCACTACCCATGAAAAATTAGGGACCTTATCCCTCTCCTGTATCTTCAGGCTGTCTCTTCTGCAGTGGCTCCCTTCTGGCCACATTAACTTCTTTGTAGCTTCCACCCCCACTCCTCTGCTGAGACTGCTCCAGTAAGAGTGCTTATGACCTCCAAACCACTAAATCCAAGAGACACTTTCCTAGCTCATCTTTCAGGACTTCTTAATAACAATGAATAAAGCAGGTAATTTTTAAAAATATTTTCTCCTTTCTCTCTCCACCATCTTTTCTTTTTTCTTTCTTTCTTTCTTTCTTTCTTTCTTTCTTTCTTTCTTTCTTTCTTTCTTTCTTTCTCTTTCAGTACCTCTTAAACTTCTCCCTCTGGTCTCTGGAACTCAGCATGACCTTTTATTTTTTATTTTAAGATTTTATTTATTTATTCATGAGAGACACAGGTAGAGAGAGAAGCAGGCTCTATGCTGGGAGCCTGATGGGGGACCCGATGCTGGGTCCCGAGGATCACACCCAGGGCCCAAGGCAGGCACTAAACCGCTGAGCCACCCGGGCTGCCCTCAGCATGACCTTTTAAAAACATAGTTGCACCTCACCAAAACTTTTTATTTTTTATTTTAGATACAGAGAGAAGTGAGTGAGCATGAGGGGGAGTGGCAGAGGGGGAGAGACTCTTAAGGAGACTCGGTGCTGGCCCTGGAGCCCAACTCAGGGCTTGATCTCATGATCCTGAGATCATGACTGAGCTGAAACCAAGAGTCGGACACTTCATTGACTGAGCCACCCAGGTGCCCACCCCACCAAAACTTTTTATTGTTTCCCTGTCATTCTTAAGATCAGGTCCCAAATCCTTATAGACCCTACCATGCCCTTCGTCATCTGGTCTGGTCCACGTCTACCTCTCCCCCTATCATTTTTCTCTGGGTTTCAGACACGCTGCTTCTTCTCTCAGTTCCTAGAATGCACAAGTCCATTTTCATTCTCAAGGACTTTTCAAAAGCAGTTTGTTCTGCTGGTGATGCTCCTTCCTCTGAGCTACCTTTCTTCGCGTTAACTGGTCTCAGTCCGAAAGTCGTTTCCTTAAGAATGCCTCTCTCTAATCGCTGCCTGGGTGCCGGCTGCCGGGACGCAGCTGCCCTCTAGCACTCGGTGCCGCCGGAACACGATCGGCCTCCCTAAGGCTGGCATCTCGTCGATCTGGCTCCTACAGGTGCCCTCGTGCTCGCCACACCCGGGGACAAGCATCTGAGCCCACCGGCTGGGAACACGCCCTCTCCCGCCACTTGCGAGGTGCGACAGACACCCTGCTCGGCGACCGGCGCTCCGGGGCCGAGAAGGGCGGCACGGCCCGGTGTCCGACTCTCGACCCTGTCCTGCCAAGACCCAAGCCTCGGCCCCCGCGGGCCGGCCTGGAGACCAACGCCATAGGCGGCCTCTGCGAGGCGACCGCCCCACCACACACCACTGGACTCCACGCGCGCGTCAAAAATCCCCAACAATCAACGAGCCGAAAAGCTTTTTCAACCTACCGCCCAAAACGCCGCCACCTTTCTTCCAATCCGGAAGTGCAGCGGTGGTGGAAGCGGAAGTAGTCGTGCGTCACTTCCGGTCACCGCCTCGGCATCTCGCTGCCATGGCAACAAGCCCGCCGCCGCGCTGTGACGTAGGCGTCGGAGCTGGTGGGTTTGGTTCCGGGTCCTCCCGGAGAGCAGTGGCGTCCGGTAGAGCGTGATCCGAAAACAGAGAGGGGACAGAAGTCCCCGCCTGGCCTTCTGGCTCGCGCGTGCGTTCCACCTCGTCACGTTTTTGCAGAGCTCGTTCTTTTTTTTTTTTTTATGATAGTCACAGAGAGAGAGAGAGAGGGGCAGAGACACAGGCAGAGGGAGAAGCAGGCTCCATGCACCGGGAGCCCGATGTGGGATTCGATCCCGGGTCTCCAGGATCGCGCCCTGGGCCGAAGGCAGGCGCCAAACCGCTGCGCCACCCAGGGATCCCCCAGAGCTCGTTCTAGTTCAGGAGTGAACCAGGCGGTGAGATACCTGACCTAAGCAAGACATAAACAAATGAACCATGATCCTGTTACGTTATCCTAGGGAAAGGAAAACAGGGTACTGTGCTGGAGAGTGAGGGTGGACAGCGAGTGTGGATGGAGTATCGTAGTGCTGTGGGTGGAAGGGGAGTGGTGCTGTAGTGCTGTAGGTGGGAGGTAGCACTGTAGTTCTGCAGGTGGAAGGGAGAGAGCGCTGTAGTTCTGCAGGTGGAAGAGGGATAGCGCTGTACTACTGCAGGTGGAAGGGAGATAGCGCTGTAGTTCTGCAGGTGGAAGAGAGAGAGCGCTGTAGTTCTGCAGGTGGAAGGGAGATAGGGCTGTAGTACTGTTGGTGGAAGGGAGATAGCGCTGTAGTTCTGCAGGTGGAAGGGAGATAGCGCTGTAGTTCTGCAGGTGGAAGGGAGATCGTACTGTAGTACTGCAGGTGGAAGGAGGATAGCAGTGTAGCACTGTAGGTGGAAGGGGGATATCCAATACTGTAGTACTGCAGGTGGAAGGGAGATTGTACTGTAGTTTAGGTGGAAGGGAAGGTTCTTCCAGAAGTAACATTTGAGCTGAGTTGTAAATGATAACAGAGTAGAAATCTAAATGGAAGATTGCTCAAGGCTGGAATCAAGGGCAAAGGCCCTGCTCTTGGTCACTGGTGGAACTGGAAGCCAGCCAGGCAGCTGGAGCAGAGTAACTATGAGAGAGGGTGGTAGAAGTTGAAGGGAGAGGTGGGCAAAGGCTACTGTGTTAAGCTGACTTGAAGCTAGAAGGATCCTTGTATTCCAATCGTCCTGTTGCAGCTGTGCCCTGAAGAAACTTGGCTCATGATTCAAAGTAAAGCTTTTAAGTCGAGGCTAGTATATAAACTACTCAAACTTTTAGACTCATTGAATAGTGGACATAACCATATTGGCAACTAGTTTTTTCACTGAATCCTACAACTAGCCCATGTGGGTATTGTAGGATTATCTTTATGAGGTGTTACCAGCCTCATGCTGTGGATGAGAAAACTAGGTCTTACTGTCATTTGTCCAAGGGGACTTATGTGGCCCAGGCAAGATTCAAACCTGTGCTCTCTCCACTACTCCACTAACCTGCCCCTCCCTATGATAAGGAAAGATGTTGGGGTTCGGAACCCTCAGCCAAGAAAGAATTCTTAAGTTGTCTTTGGTGCAAAAAGGTGGTTTTATTAAAGCATGGGAAGTGGACCTCTGTGCAGAGAGAGCTGTACTTCTCACGGGAAGTGATTGATTATATACTTTCAAGTTGGGAGGGATTAGGGAGAGCCTAAGTCTCTAAGGAATTTTGGAATCAAAGTGTCCAGGACCTTGAGAGGGCTAGTTATCGTTAGGAAAAGGTCATTTATTACTGTCTAATAAAACCCGAGTCACCAGACCCTTCAGATGTATATGGGTGGGTCATATGCTTGGGGGATGGTTGCTAACATGTATCTTGGGGGGTAGAGATAAAGAATGCTTCCAAGGGAATTTTTATACATTAGACTCATAGGATCCTGGGAGTCAGGCTAAGGTTGCCTGTTGCCTTTAGCAAAGTATTAACATCGAGGCAGCTGAGTTCCTAGAGGAATGTCACTCTGCATGTTTCAAGGACTTGTCAATGGGCTGTAGGTAGTAAGGACATTTAATTTTGCTTTGGTCTCTCACATCGCCTATACCTACCACGTGACTTCCTCTGTGTGAACTGCCATGCGGTTTTGATTAAAAGTGCACACCCTGTATTTCTGTGAAAGTCTAGAAGTAAAATAGGCTGGAGAAATCATAAGTACATACCATATCACACACCACCATTGCCACCACCACCACCACCACCGAGCAGCTGCTCCAGGTCTTCGATGAGCGACTGGAAGTCAGCATGATCTGCCCTGGAAATGCAGTGCTCGTGTTGTCCACTGTTGGTCTATAAGAACTTGAAGTGCAAGTTTGCTGCTGATGCAGCTTGCTCTTGGTAAACCCCCTTACCCAGAGCGTTGTGGGTATTTGCGAATTTAATGAAGATGGTGAGGGATGAACGAACCCACAAAAGGCCAGAACTAGAAGGCAGAATAGAGATCATCCAGGCCAGTGGTTCCAAAAGCACTGTGCCAATCTCCTAAGAAGCTTTTAAGAAATAGATTCCCAACTTGGCACACAGACATCAGGCACTACTGTTCTATCATATTAAGATCCATGGACATGATAATGACACTGTAGTACTGTCAGAATGTCCCTGTTGTTGGCAGATTCATGCTCAAGTATTTAGGGTCAAATATGATGCTGTCAGCAGATATTTTCAAGATGATTCTGCAAGGTGTGTTGTGCATGGTGAATTTAGGTGAAATCTATATGGGTTTTCACTGTACTCATTTTTTTCAAACTATTCTGTAGTTTTGAAACTTCAAAATTTAAAAAAAAGTCCAAAGGGAAGATTTTTTTTTAAAAAATGTAGATTCCCAGATCCCATTTCCAGATATTCGAAATCAGTGAATCTGTATTTTTCTATTTCCCTCCATTCTGTTGCACGAAGTTGGGTACCACTGATCACAGACAATTCTAGACTCCCCTCCTCACCCATTTCGCAGGAGAAAAAACTGAGGACGCAAGAGGATGACAGATTCAAGATAACCCAAGTGGATTAGCGGTAACATTAGGCCTGGAACACAGATTTCTATTTCATCAGGACAAATTTAGCGCTCCATCTGGGTGTGTGCGTGTGGCGAGGGGAGAAGAGTAGGAAGGGGCCAAGAGTGGAGGGGAGTGGGTCGAGGGAGGTATCGCCTGGGAAGTCAGGTGTAAATGGCCTTCTGGAGCCTCCTTGCTTTTCACACAACCGAGTGGTAATTCTCGTGTGTTTTTTTTTTTTTGTTTTGTTTTTTGTTTTTTGTTTTTTTCCATATCCGTTGAAGAAAGCTCTAAGCAGTTCCCCTTTGGTGGCCACCAGTAGTTTCAGGAAAGAAAACCCGGTCGCTCCGCTCCGGCGCCGTTGGCGTCCCGTCGCCATGGAGACAGACCGTTCCATTCTTCCTCGAGGGGTGGTCTTGATTTTCTGTCCGTGCCCAGTGTGCCGAGCGGTGCTCACAAGTTGTTCCGAGGAACCAGAGGGGTTTATTTCGGGCGCTAGGGCTCCTTGCGGGGAGCGGGTGGCGCGAGGCGGGTGCACGCCCCTCCGAAGGGGGCCGGGCGTCCGGGGCCCCCACACCCCGAGTGGTGCGGCCCGAGGGGACTGGCTGGGGGGCCTTCCGAGCTCTGCGCCCGCCCGCCAGCAGGGAAGCCGGGAGGATCCCGCCACCCCGGGGCCGTCCCGCAACCGCAGAATGCCAGAGGCCCAAAGCTCCCGCCAGGACCCCCGGCGATGGAAGAAGCAGCAGGTGCGCCGCACGGTCAGCCACATCTGCCCGCCCCCGCGGCGGCCCCTGACCGTGGCCGACATCCGACCCGGCATGGAGAACGAGAGGCTGGGGGTCGTGCGGGATTCCATGTTTCAGAACCCGCTCATCGTCAAGGTGAGCCGCCCCCACGCCCGCCACCCGCCCGGCGCTCGCCCCCTCGCTGGGCACCCACGGGCCCGGGGCTTCCACGGCCGGCCCGAGCGCACTGTGGGAAGCCCCCTCCCCCCCCGCCCCGCTCCGCTCTAGGCAGACCTGGACCCCTGAGCCGTCCGGGGTCGCGTAGCCGCTCTGCGCCTCAGTGTCCTAATCTTCCAAGTGGGATGCTAAAGGCGCTCATTAAAGGGACTGACTGGGAAGGTTGAATAGAGACCCCTGGCGCGGGGCCTGGCACGCGGGGAGCGCGCAGGGTCGGCTGCTGCTGTTCACCCAGGAGTCTGCCGGGGAGCCCCAGGGTGACCGGCAGGGAACACGCACCCAGACTATGCCCTTGCTCGCCAGCTGCCAGCCCTCTCGGGGTGCAGCCGCCTCCCCCCTTTCCCCTGCACGCCTGGGCGGCTTCCTTGCAGCGAGCGTTCTGAATCCCTCCTGGAAGCGTCTCTTGACAAGTTAATTTCCATCCAATCACACTCTGACCCAGAATTACAGCCCTAAGAGAAAAGAGCTGGAAACTCTGCCTTGGGGACTTCGCCGACACCAGCGAGGGAGGGGGCTGCGATTTCTTAACCAGATCGCCTCCCCTTTTATTGCACGCACCCTCACTTCAGAGGTTTCGGGACTGGTGATCGCCCAATGCTGGAGTAGCATCGCCGCGCCTTTCCGGGAGCCACAGGAAAAAGTCGCGTTGAGGTTTGGCCCTCGGGGAGCTGGTCGGGAGCAAGATCCTCTTGTGCCGCTGGAGGGCGGTGTGCTTTCAAAAATGCGCGCAGGTCCCGGGTGCCAGAAGCAGAAGGCACAGGTGTAACCCTGGATTCAGTAACAATGTACCTGAACGGGCCAGGAGCTCGATTGGAGCCCAAAGGTCTTTGTTGTTTTGTGTTTTGTTTTTGTTTTTTGGTACAGGGAACCTGGGCTTTCTTTTTATTCTTATTTTATTTAAATTGAGTTAATTAACATATAACGTATTACTGGTTTCAGAGGTAGGT